AAGGTAAATCTGTAGTGTTTTCCCAACACAGTATCTACAGATTCTTAAAGAAAATTACGTAATTTAAATAAAAGGCGTCTCGCAACCCTATTCATTAATTTTGTAGTCATGCATTATTGAAGAATGACAGACCTGAGGCGTGAACAAAGTTCATTTCTCTCACAATATGCATTTAATTTCTTTAAAACATGCATGCGATTCAACGAAAAATATTAAAGACTTCAAGTTTGATTATAATACTCATAATATCAATTAATATGTTTAGCATACACAAGACAAACCTTCAATTTGTTAGTTAAAATAAAGGCTTGGGGCAGCAGAAAGGTAAGCTACCAGCTACAGAACTTGTAACAGCTTCCAACTCTTCATTTGAAAAATAAACTTACAATTCTTTTAAGGTAGGGAATAAGCAAGCATAGGAACAACATTCAAAAATTTCAATTTCTTTTATCTTTTATTCATCTTTACAGCTTCACATTCAATATACAGATTATACAAGGCAGTTTTGACACTGAGTATTTATGAATTTACAATTTTATTTTATTACAATTATATTTGTTTTGAGCAGACTGCATTTTTACTATACACTGCCAATAGCATATTAACTTCCAAATATTGCTCCAAAATAGTGTGTACCATGGTTCATCAAAATACATAATTGGCTGCCTCAAACAAAGTCAAAATTTTCATTTCTGTACTAACACAATTATCAAAATTATTAATTATTATTCTTTCTATTATAATTCTCTCTACTTTCCATGAAGGGGCACTCATCCGCATCCATATAAGTAATATTCTACATATAACTGAAATAGGATGGTAAAACTAAAATTAACAGAGCAAACAGAATAAATAATATTAATAATATTGTTGACTTTATATCCCAAATTACAAATGACACAACCTTCACACATTTACTGCCCAACATAGATATAAATAATGAAGGTTTCTTGGCTAATAAATAAGTCTTATATAGTTTTTACTATACTGTAAGGAAATACATATAACGGCTAGGAGCACTTGTAAAACTTTATAACATTTACAATAAATAACAAGTTGTTATAAATATTTTTCCAACAATTAATGGACAATATTCAAAATAAATATGAACAGCATTGCGAGCAATTAGAGTGTAAAATGTTTTGAAGAAAGTAATTACAGCGACTGCAAAAGCAACATTATCTCTGGTTTGAGATACATGGATTGTCCAGCTGATTCATTTGGTAACAAAGTCTCCCAAGTAAATATTAAGATACTGGCAGGAACCAAGCGTAAGTCAAGCAGAGAATGATCGTAATCTTCTTCAGTTAACCTATGTCCAGTAGCCGTAGATAAAATGAAAGGTCGATCTTCATCAATAATGTTTTCACTGACAAAAGTGCGTACAGCATCTACTTTTTCATACACCGTAAATGTACCCTACCAAAGAAATAAACCATAAAATAAGCACATAATATGGTACCACTAAATAAAGATTCAAAATCACATACATACTTGTAGAAACACTCCATCTGGAAAGCGAATTCTTATAAGAGCATATCTGTATCTTCTCATTTCACGCTGCTCTTCCTTTTCACGCATTGCTTTTGTTCTCAACATCATACTCTTTTCAATTGCCTCAGCCCTGAAATATAAATAGACTTAAAATAATTCCATGAGAAAATTCATACTCCAAAATTAATTGAATCCCAATCATTGCAAAGTACATTATTTTTACAAATATCATTGAAGATATAACCAATTTATTATATTCCTAATTCACAATACATGTGCAAGGAAAACTAAACATGAAGTTCCAAGTAAAACATCAATGATAATAATACTTTGCTCCCAAACCACTGGTATTTTTAAAATAGGTTTAGTTACATATTTTAAGAGCTTCACCATTGATGTTTAATGTCCAATAAACATTAACATTTGCATGCATGGGAAGAATTTAAATTGGCAGTGGCAGTGTTTATTAATTTAAAAAGAACATTGAACTGACAAAACAAAGTCAGAAAAACAATTAACAAAACAGTTATTCTTAGACTGGATAATACAAAAATTATAGATTATTTTCAACAACACTATGAAAAAAAGAGTCTTGTCTAGACTTAAAATTTCACCTCCTTTTCCAACTCTTCACCCTTGGTCATGTCAGTCTGAAGAAAGATGTTCAATTTGAAATTTAAAAACATCAATTACAGAACGTCTATGAGAAAAAATCAGCTTTAATAAATCAATTTTCAAACATTGACATCAATGTCACATCTATAGTTCACAAAGCCAAAGGAGTATCTTAGAATTAGCACATAATTTGTAAAAATGTTAATATTTATTAAACAGCTGCAGAAGCGATAAGAAATAATACTGTAACTTCATGTATTAATTGTATCTTATATAATGCAATACACAGAAACTTGAAGAGGTGTTATATAGTAGTTTTGTTCTTCACTTTCTTTCTGTTGAAAATCTTGCACAGAATATGAATTGAAAAACTATCATATTAAAACAATTACATCCAATAAATAAAAATTTCACATAAACTTTAGAACACAAATTAACATCTTAATAAATTAAGAAAATGTTTATAATTAATACATTTCAATAAAAATTAAAAATTTTTGAACATTCCACTCCACACATTTTTATTCATTGTCAACTTCTCAATACTGTACTATAAACTATATTAAAACTGAAATACCTTGAGTGATAAGAGAGATCATTTAAAATAAAGTTTTCTAGTCAATTTTAAAAAATCTTTCATGAAAACAGCACGATTGGAAAAAAATATACATGCATATATGGTAAAATCTGCCTAAGTCAGAATCGATCAGGACAAAAAAGGATTCCTGTTCACGGAAGTTTCCGTTTTATGCAGGGTTATCTATTTTATGACACTGGTTCTATTGATATTTCCATCCTGAAACTTGAAAAGTACAAACTTTATCGCAATTATAAAAAGATGTTAACATATGGAAGAAATCACCAATAAATTAATATTAAACATATATCTGACAACTGAAGGGAAAATCTTCGCAACTAGTGCACTAAAATAATATTTTTTCGAACATTCATTAAGAGCTTTTTGCTTTTTGGTTTCCTACTGACTAACACCTTTTTTATTATGTTTTCAGAAGTTGAAAAACACTAATATTTAAAGTTTTATTTTTCTTTCCAAACATCGGTAAACTAGTTGTGAAGTTCGTAAAAATACACCATCTCACTCTCTAGTGGCTGTAGCCGGACTGCTCGCCGTCTCTTCAATGCTCAATGCATCACAGCCCAGAGAACTGTCTTTCTGACACACTCACATGGCCTTCGCTAATGTGGTAACCCCTCTGAGGGGTTAGGTTTCTCACTGCAGGGCCGAGAGATGTGTGAAAAGAAGTTATGCTCATACAAACTCCCATGTTCAGAGCAAGGAGGGAGGGAATTCCCCTACCATGTACACCTTGAAAGACAAGCAACTCCAAGGTCGAATTATAGGCTGACAGTTGAAGTCCCTCACCTTCACTGTCCAGCTGCCATGACAAACGCACATCACAGGGATACAGAAATTAAAACAGACTTGAGGATGCATTTATTCCATTAAGAGATTCTCATGTCTCTCTGTCAATTGCATTAAATTCACAGAAGTTCCATTTTTATAATGTTTTCTTTCAATGCAGGACATGCAAAACCTTTCTGTTTCCACATTGGACAGGTTCTGTTTTATGAAAATGGCCATATTACTTTACAGCCCGGAGAAATTTTCTTGTTAAGGCAGGTTTCCAGCTTGTACAGTTTCTGATTTAGACAGATTTTACTGTATATTTGGTTGAGTAAAAGTAATGTAAAAAAATTCTTCCAAATGTGGGCAGGTGGGTGGTTTGTGAAAAACACATTTCCTTAAAAGTTTTTTAAATAAACATTTTTTTTATATTTCTTAATTTTTGTATGAAAGATACATATGACAAGTGATGAGCTAAAGCAATACCTCAGCTGCTGCTCTCTCTTCAACTCCTCTGCTGTTACACTAAAAAACACTGGAGGTAGTTCCACTCGCTCGGCCACTTGTGATGGTAAAAGAACTTGAAGATTGCGGTCAAGTTCCAAGGCAATTGGTTCAGCCGATTTCAGGGCATCACACAAAATCTTAAAAAAGGCAAAATCTTAGTATTAATTTTATCGAAATATCTTTGTAAACTGCAATCAAAAGATGTAAGTCATGATTCCACTTCAAATCCGTTTCCAAAACTTCTTACTAAAGAAAAATTTCCTTTGCTGAAAAAATATCACAGCACAGAAAATACCGCAAAGACTAACTCAACCATTACCCTGATATTCCACAGACCCGTTCATGAAGTGTTTATGAACCATCACAATGCAGATGTTAGAAATGGGGGTTCAATAGGGGTAAATAATGGAAATATGATTTTGTCATTCTTTCCTCACTTTGGCACTTTATATTGCAAGTTTGGTTTACTGAGGCAAATTAATATTATGCTACCTAATGTAATTCATATTCTCTACTACGTAATGTACTACAAATATTTATAAACATTGTAATTTATTATTTTAGTTCAATTTCAGAAATCTATTAGTATGAGATTATTCTTAAATCTGATATCTAATATGTTTTGATCCTTTACAAATGTATTTCATGTGTTTAAAGTATATATAGCTTTAAACATTGAACAAAATAATGTAGTGTGTTTTTTCCCCCGTCATGTATAGGTAAGAAATTTCTATGCCTAAAAAAATTTCAAAATAGTAAAAATATAAATAAAATAAAGAAAATATGTAAGCATTTTATAAATATTTTAGTCAACTTAATATTTATATTTCACAGAAGTATTTTATTTTACAAAAACAGAAACAAACTTACAAAATGCTACATGCAAAAGAGGAAATTAAATCCACAAGAAAAATGGTATAATATAAATATAATACACTCAATAAAAGAATTTAAACAACATTTAATACGGTTTGCGATTGGAAATAAAATAGCTGACTGGGCCTCTGGATCAGTAACTGCTGAGATATGCGTGGCAAAGTGAGTAATGAAAGGCGGGGCGAGGTGACTTAGTGACCCCACTCTGTGTCTTATTTCCTTTGCAACATATTTCTCAAAAAGGACAGGAACCATTAGAAAGATAAGCAGCAAGCAACACACAGAGCTTTCCAAGAAAGATGTCAAAAAAATCAAAATATTGTATGTGTATCTATAAGGTAACTGAGCTCCTAAACAACGATAGGGATTCTCAGGCACTCTGTGCTCCTACTCCTGGGTTCATTATATTGCATGATAATGAATTACTTTTCACTTTCAATTTTTGCAAAAAAAAACATCACACACACACACACACACAATTAATAATACAAATTTTTGAATCTCCATTATGATAGTTCATGAATATCTAGTGACATTTGTTTGCTATCTGGTAATAACATACTAACTAAATTTTCATTAATGATAACTGCTTTTTGAATGCATTGACTGCTTTAGAACTCCTATACTGTAATACCAAATTATGACTCGATCAGAAAACATGCTTTTATGAGAAAATCATCTTTGTATTCCAGCTACTGTAGTTCACAGAACGACAGGTAGGATTTTTACAAATATTTTTTTGATATTATGGACTACCAAATCATGTATCTCAATAAAAACCTGGAGTTCAAGTATTTGCATCAATACATAACCTACCATACATACACAGCACATATGTGTTTATATGAGTGAGTATGCTTTGTGTGTGTATATTCATGTTTATGCATGTGTGTACATGGATGTGCACATGTGATATGTGTGGACACATGCGTGGGGGTATCCAGGAAGGCATACACTCATTAATAAATAAAACAAAACATTTCAAGTTTCAAATAAAAATTCTGTTTTCAAGGATTGGAAAATTCAGATGTATTTCAAGGTTTCTGGGGATTCTAGCTTCACTGATCACACTAAAATACCTTGTAAATACACAACTGTAATCCTCACCACATAGAAAGCAATACTAGTGTGATTAGAATAGAAAAAGCAAAAAAACATGGTCAAACCTGTAAATTTTCCACACATTCACCAACATCCTCAGTGAAAACAAAGAAATCTTCCTCTCCTTCACCATGAGGCAATTTCATTACATCAAACCCTGCAGCAAGAAGAAAATCTTGTGCTCCCTCAATGGGGGCAACCCTTTCTTGGTAAACCTTGTTAGTTAAACGAATTTTCCTATATTTCTCTTCAGTAGGGTTATGAATGATGTTTTCTAGATATTTGAAAAGGGTTTCAACACACATTTCAACCTGAAAAGCAATAATCATCATATTTCAAAACATCAATAACACAGTTCTTAATTTCACAATTTTGAATAACTTTCATACCTTCTCTCTATTTTTATTACAACTTTGAATAATAAGGCAGGCTGTAAGACCTCTTTCTTCTTCCAGTTGTTCATATAAAAATTCTCGAATCTTTTTATGCCATTCATCCTTTGTGAGAATATCAGAACCTAAACACAGAAATATCACCTACTTTTACTGTATAAATGTAAGAAAATTCAAGTTAAAAAATGATCTCTGTACTCACCTATCATTGGACACTTAAAAAACACTCCTTGAACAGCAAAGTGAGTAGAAGTTTCAATTACAACTGCTTCAGTTTTAGTTTCAACTTGGGGTGTTTGAGATTGTGCTTTTTTTTCTGCTTCTAATTCCATGCGCACTTGAGCCTGAATGGCAGCAAGAGACCTGAAATCAAGTTTTCATCACCTATAAAAAATTATCTTCAAAATCCTCAGAAATTCTTCTACTTTTCAGTATTGTTCTATTATTACATAGTTTTATGGTATCTTAAGATTATATAAGACGATTATAAATTAAGAGAAATAAAATAAGGAATTTTATTACAACTTTACATTATCATTAACATTGTTGTATTTACTACAGATTTTGTACACTTTATAATGAATATAATTAAATATAATTGAACTATAAATGTAGTACATCGATTACTGTTTGATGCTGGTAAAGCCAAGTTATATAAACAATAAACTTTATTATTATTATTTTTATTATTATTATTATCATCATCATTATATTAAATTATAACCAAAGAATCTAGAAAATGAAATTAATTTACAATGAAAATAAATTCTCCTCTTGTCTTCAATAAATTGACATGATTTTTTAAATCCTGCATTAAGCGAAACAAATTCTTAGTAGATCACAATAAATTTCTTATAGTTTTTAACAACTGTTTCATACACACATATGAGCATTGTGTGGATGTGTTTTTTAACAAGTTTGACAATCACATGTAGTAATTCTCTATGAAAATGTATCTTAATATACAGAAATGTTTGACAATTAAGTGTCAAGCACCAAGGCATTTTCTCAACCCACAATCAAGCAATCCAACATGAATACTAAATCATTTAAATAATCAAAATGAAGATACAATCTTGTACTAAGCTCTAGAACAATAAACAGACATTTGATATTAGAGGCACAATTTTGGACTACAAGATATATATTTGTTTCACAAAATGTTTAAGGAATTTTTGCTATTACTTATATTAGCTCGGTTTTTAATGGTTAACTTTTTTATTTATAAATATTTTATGCAGTGGTGGAAATGACCACTCATTGTCATTCTAGGGTGGCTATCTATCTAGTGTTAATTAATTTAAGTATTGTTTAATAAGAAACTAACGTATTAAACGCAGCTTGATCATGCCTCCTTCCTCCTCCCTCCATCCGAGCAAGAGCTGCAGCAGCCGCTTGCTTCGCTTCTGCTGAAGGAGCAGAACGTGATCCACTGCCACTATGTTGATGTTTGGTAGAGTGTGGCTTCGGCTGATTGTGACTAGACTCTTCATTAAGTCGATGTCCTGGACCAGCCAATTTGAACTTGGCATCTGCTTTCTTCTTTTGAAAATATTTCTTGATTTTGTCAGCCATTTCTTTTTGATATCCTATAATTGACACTAAACCCTAGGAGAATGTTCTTTTGGAAGTTTTAAAAGTGATACACTATTTTTCAGCTCTTGTATAGCACTAGATGTGGCTGCAAAACAAATTTAAATATATAACCAAACCTATTTACTGCCAAGAAAGTGGTTTTACTATCCACATAAAATAAACAATCATATTCATTTTCAATATTTACAACACTTACGTGGTCTCATAAATCGTTCAAATATTTTCTTGCCGAAGATCTTCCAGGAAATGTATATCAGAATCACATTAGTACATAATATTACAAGAAATCCTTTCAAGAGCTTTATCTGAAATTCGTCAAAGGCTAACCAATTGATGAAACTATCGTAACAGTCGTAAACCAGGTGGAAAGATAAACTAGTCGGTAGAGTAAAATTTGAGGCTAAATCTAAAATATGAGTGACAGTGCCAATGAGTTCCAAGACATACGATCGTACTATGTCAATTAGAGAAGAGCTGGGGAAAGATTCATCACTGACCGCAATCATTACATTCACATTTCGAATTCAACCCATAAAATATTAAAACTATCCACTGAAATTCACATCAAACTACAAAGATAAAAAAAATAACACCGTCAAACATTTACATGCATGGTCACTCACGCCTGATAATACCAAATCGAGATTTAGTTTCATGCACTCCAATGAAATTCGTATAAAACTTTACACAAGCACGTCGTGTCGACTCGATATTTATCCAACAGCTTACAATCATAAGGAATTTTGTAGAGTTATGTTGTCAGTTTTACTTCTCGTTCAAGAATGCCAATTGACGAAACAATAAATTATATAAAAATCTTTTAAAAAGTCAATTGTTTTGAAATTTTGAATATTGTACATTCAACACTTTTAATATTTTACGAATCATTGGATTTTATTTTCCTAATATTCATAAGTAAAAATATACTGTTTCTATTTGTGTCAATGTAAGAAACTTATAAGTCGTTGGGTTGGCTTCAGTTGAATTATAGTTGTACACAAAGATTATCAACTCGACTGTACTACTATGTAACAAAATCACCAAAATTTGGAAGGTGTCTGATCAGATGGCACATTATACACATTATACGTGCACATGTGGTTATTGTTTTCACGTGTTTTCAACATCATGATTTTATAACAATACTAATTGTGTTGGAAGCTATATAATTCGTATATTTTTGACCAAGTGATATTTATTCTCTATTTCACGAGTAATATCAAAAAGAAAACATGGATTTGTTTATTATGAGAAGGTAACCTAACCTGTACTAAAATACATTTTTGTTAATACTCCTGTTGAAAATTAGTATTATATTATTTTAGTATATTTTAAGATTTTTAGATATATAATGAAAATTAATATTTCGCTCTGAAATTGAAACTATTTTTCACACATCAATTATAATTGGGTAATAAAGTTTTTAGGGTACTAAAGATGGTTTTCACTTGTATTTTGTTTGAGAGACCATATTTAAAGTGTTTTTACTGTATAATTAATAATTAGTGAAATAATGGATAAGGAATTGTTATATCAAAAATGTATCCCTTGAAACAATATGAAATGATCAAACATTCACGGTGCTTTTTCACCAGCAGTGCAGTTAATAGGCTGAACCATTTATACGTTTATTTACAAATAGCCTGTGGCTAATTTAAATATCAATATCACATTTCACAAACACAGCAGCCCAACTGCATAGTTTTAACAATTATTAACAATATAATTTACACAATTTATAACAATGATCCTTTAACAGTTCTTCAAATAATAAAGTCAATATAATCAAAAAAATAATTCTTTAACAATACAAAATATTCTAATACTAATTTTCCTACTTTCAATACTTTCCAACCAAACAACTTATTCTTCTTTAAATTCTTCAACTGACCCAGATACCTTTATCCTTTGTTTCTTCATTCTTCTATCCTCCTATTCTTCATTTGAATATATATCTTGTATCCAAAGCATATGAAAATGAAGTCAAAGTTTCTTTGCTTGTGTGTAGGTTTTTTGCCATTATCATTATCCTTGCAGATTTCGTACATTTATAACTCAACAGAATGTTAGGCTCTCCAATCTTAATGCTTTTAATGAAAACTATAAGAAAATAGTATAAAGAGGTTAATAATCTTCCTCCTATATATTTGCAATAGAAGTGTGCTGTAATTTTATTTTATATTATAGGTTTGGGGAAGAGAGTGAAAAAGAACCAGTTAATCAAGAAGATCATCTCTCTTCATTATTAGAAAAGATTGAGGAACGAAAAAAGAAGCGAGAGAAGTTAAATGAGCTTCAAAAGCAAAGAGAAGAAGCTCCCTCAGAAGAAAAGAGGCAAGTAATTAAACATGTTCATGTTAATGAAAAAGAAAAGAAGAGGAAAGATAAGCGGAAACACAAAACTGAAAACAATGAAGCACTTTTAAATGATACTAGTGAAAAGTCAGAGAGTGGTATTGAAAGCCCTACAAAAAAGAAAAAGAAAAAGAGAAAAAATGTAGAACTTGGTAATGATGGACCGTTGGATGAACTTGAAATTAAAAAAACAGAAGATGCCTGTACTAAAGTACAATCTAAAGTTCCACAAAGCTTTACCATTATAGGGACAGATAAGTTCTCAAAGAAATCGAAGGTATGTTGAGTGAATCGAGATCCTGATTAATTTCATTTTCATATTGATTGTGTTTTACTGACCATATTAACGATTTTTGTAGGTTAAACGTGTTTTGCCCTATTGGCTTGCACATCCTAATGTTGTATCAGGAAGTATGACAGATATCAGCAAAACTATTTATGACATACCAAGTTTAGATAAAGATCTTGTGAAACGACTGGAAGAAAACAACATCAAATACTTTTTCCCAGGTTGTTAGTCTTGAAGAAGTTATATTTTATGTAATTTACTCCAACACTGTTTAATAATATTTTCTACTTTTTCTCTAGTGCAAAGTAAAGTCATTCCATGGCTTTTAGAAGCTCACAGAAAACCTTTGCAGTACAGACCCAATGATGTGTGTATATCAGCACCTACTGGCAGTGGGAAGACATTGGCATTTGTTTTACCTGTTATTCAGGTTGCCCTTGATTTTTTTCCTTTCCTTTTTTTTCTTTTCTTTTTTTTTCTTTTCTTTTTTTTTCTCATAAAAAACAATTTGCACATGCATGACATTATTTCCAGGCCTTGAAATCCCGAGTAATGCGACATGTGAGGGCTCTTGTTGTGTTACCTGTACGTGATCTCGCTCTCCAGATTTTTGATGTATTTAAAGAGTATTGTAAAGAAACTGACCTGAAAGTTATTCTTTTAACTGGACACTCATCTTTTGTTAAAGAGCAGCAAGAACTTGTTAAAACAAGTAAGGACTTTTTCTTATCTTAAATTCCCGGCCCTTCCATCTAATGAATGTGTCTTCTTATCGGAAGTAAATGTCTTTCTTGTTTCAGGCTCCATCATTGGACAATACAATGCCGTGGACATTGTTGTGACAACTCCTGGTCGGTTAGTAGAACACTTAATAGACACACCAGGTTTTTCTCTGAAGTTCCTTCAATTTTTGATTATAGATGAAGCTGATAGAGTTGTGGATAATATTCAGAATGATTGGTTGCATCATGTTGAAAAGCACGTATCTAGTGATATTACAGGTATTTTGATTATCAACAAATAATGTTATATTGCATATAAACTTTTTAAAATATTCAAAAGAATGCATGGAGTTTGTTTGTAAATAGGAAAACAGACAGCACTGAGTAGCTTGTCATTACAAGCAATGATTCCATCTCCTCCTCAAAAGCTTCTATTCTCAGCAACTTTAACTCAGGATCCAGAAAAATTGGAAAAATTAGGACTGTTCCAACCAAAGCTTTTTACAACTATCGTTGGAGAGAGGGATGCAGGTCAGAAAAGAAAATTAATAACAAAAATTGAAATTTAGTTTTTAATCAATATTTATAAATGATTTTACGAAAAGATTTTCAAAGTATTTTATTACAGATGTGCAAGAATCTACTACTGAGGTTCGTGGAGACTTTGTTGGGAAGTATACTACTCCTGCTGAGTTGACTGAAAAATGTTGTGTAGTTGATCCAGAACTCAAACCTCTTGTTTTGTATCACTTGATATCCAATGAAAATTGGAAGAACGTTTTGTGTTTTACAAATTCACAAAAAAATACCCATCGTTTAGCTTTGTTGTTGAGATATTTAGGTGGAGGTTCCTTAAATGTTGGTGAAATATCAGGAGCATTGAGGCGAGATCTCAGAGATAAGACAATACAGAGATTTTCTTCTGGAAAATTAAATGTGTAAGTGTAACAAAAAATACTTATTTATAAAATTTGTTAATTAAGATATGCAAAATAAGTTATTTTTATTTATAGACTTGTAAGCTCAGATGCACTGGCAAGAGGAATTGATATACCAGATGTGGATTACGTTGTTTCGTATGATGTGCCAAAGTTTGTCAAAACACACATTCACCGGATTGGGCGTACTGCAAGAGCTGGAAGAAAAGGAACTGCCGTTACATTTCTCGAGAAAAAAGAGGTTTGTTCATTAGGAGAATGCATGAGCCTTGGTTTCATACAGCTTAAGTTTATTCACAGCAGCGTATTGAAGAAACATTATCTAATATTTAAATTGCACCTTTATGTTTTCAAATTCACGGGTGCTCATTTAATTGTTTTTTAAAAAATGCAATTTCTGTTGCAATCTCTGGATGTTGATTGCTATGATAGATTATGAATAGTGTCTTCCAGACAGTAATGTAATAATTTTCATGAACTGATGTATAGTCAACAATATTAACACTACTTAACTAATAGAGTTGCAAGAAATTATTATTTATATCTATTATTATTGCAATCATTTCTATTTGTAATCATATCAGATACCTGATTTCTGGTGGACTATACTTTTAGATTACACTTTAGTCACAAACCAGATATTTGAATTCAAATTTGTAATGCTTTAAAAATGGTTTTGTAACCCCTTTATTTTATACTTTTGCCAACTCTTTGAATTTGTTTCAAAATTCAGCCTTTCAGTATTCACTGGTGGGCATGTATAACCCAAAAATGTCAGGTACGTTAATACCTTGCAGTGCTACTACACGGTACAGACTTTCTCATACAATTTGTAACAATTGTATAAAGTGATAGGAAATGCACATACCTCTATTATTCCAATTATTGTGTGCAAATCTCATCATTATGTAAACTGGTGAAACTCAGTGAACCATGTTTTCTAAAATCTAATTTGCAATGGAAATTGGTCTTTTTCTTGTATACATGGCCATTAATGTGCATAGCTTTAATTTTTAGTTTTAAAAAATTCTCTTTTTGAGAAAAACTGGATTTTTTAAAAAAAAATGTATTTTTTAATTGTCATTGTTTCACTTACAGTTAAGCGAAAACTAGTTGTATTTGAAAAAATTATACATGATCTCTTTTATAGACCTGTTTTTAAAGAACTCATTTTAGTAAGGAAAGTATTTTCAAAAATATAGTTTGGAGTCCAAAAAAAGAGTTAACTTATGCAGTATTTTAAATTTCCAACATTTTTTTAAAAATTTAACCTGCACATGGTTATAGGCACACTCAATTCAAGAAAAAAAATTGAAAAAATAAATTTGGAGCCATTATTGAGCAAATTCCAAAAATATCTGTTGATTCATGTAGAGATACATTTCCAATTGATAGATCTGCAACATCCCATCGATTGTGAAATGTCCGTAGTGTTGAAAATTCAGTGTATGGTGTAGATGGCAGTGTTGTTCACAGACGCATGGATGGATGGACAGATGTTTTGAAACATTTATCTCAAAAACACTTTTTCAAGATTAGAGACCCCCAATATATGTATTTCTGTCAAGTATCTTGACAGCAGTGTTTACACATTCCATAACTTTCTTAATATAGTAAAACCCTGGTAATCCAAACTAATTGTGTCTGTTCAAATCCGATCCATAACAAAATGTATCGTGCATAAACATCTATATCTATAGGATTACCAGAATGTGCAACATAGCATGTGATGTGAGAAAATGACAACGTAGCATAGCGATTGCATCATCAAACAGATTCAAGTCCTTACAACATAAGGAGGTTACTGATTTCGCAAGTTCCTCTAAATGAAAATTACTTCTACATGAACATGTGATATACACTGTACTTACTAGTGCAATAAATGTTTCATTTTGACAACTTGTTTCAATACTTAGTTGTTCAGTTCTACAGTAATTATAAAATACTTTCTTTACATTACAAATAAGCATTTTATTTACTTTGTTCAATTTTTCTCCATCTCGAATTTTGTTTGGATTATCTGAAATTTTGGATTTGTGGGGTTCAGATGAGTTAGGTTCTACTGTATTATGTTTAGGAGAAATTAAAAATTATGTGTGTAATAGTGTAGTTAATTAGATATTAGTTTAAAATAATTGACTTTATGTTAATAGAGTAATAATAAATATGTCACTATATGTTTAGGAGAATTACATTACATTATAATGATAGATTCATCAGAATAAAATAATTCAAACATATTTACTGTTTAATGGAACACAATCATTTAACCAACCATCCACATTAATACACTCCTAATGGAATAAAATCTTTGGGAGGAGAAACATGAACTAAGAGAGTAAACTTTATTTTTTTAAACTGTTTAAAATATAAGTAATTATTAGTTTTGAAAAAATATTTACCAAAATGTTGGAATGAAATATTTTACGCTTTCAATTATTGATAATTTGCCAGTCATTTTTCAGAAGCAATTAAAATTACAAAGTTTTTTTGTTTCATTTGAAATTATTGTGACTGACATTATTCAGTATGATTAGAATGGCTGAAGAATTACTGTTATCTAAAAAGTCCTTTCAAAATATTTAATAATTTAAAATGTACATAAATTATGATGATTGCCTTTAGCATTTATTTAAACATTGAAAGCATATGTGGAAAACATTCAGTAATACGTATTTATCACTAACTGAAATTTGATAGAGCGAGAATAAAACTTTTCAAAATATTATCATTTAAAATAACTGGGATTGACTTAAGGAGAATCCATTCACACTTCATTTGAAGAAAACTGTTGCCAACCTAATAATCATATGTTTTGATGAGTCTTATTGCGAACCCATGCTGCCCATGGTGTATGTGTGTGATGTCTTCTTTGGCTGGAGCTAGAGGGAGACCCCATTTCTTTTCCTTTCCAAACATTGCACAATTGCTTAACTAATGTTTGTAGTTATTTAGTTTTTAATAAAAACGTATGGGATATACACAATGCTTAATGTAAATCCCGAAGGCTGCAGTCTCTCTGTAACATTGGAAATATATCAGATCAAATGAAGGTTGTTTTATGTTAATCGCATAGGCCAGAGCCTATGTGAAATTAGATAGACGTAGCGAAGTGTATGTTACAAGTTTGAGGTTGAAACTACTATGCCTTTCTGCTTGCATTTATTCGTATTTACAAAAACACACTACACATGATATGTTAGTTAAATCAATCCACACTTCAGTTTTAAAGTCCATGAGTTTGGTACAGTGACAAAGGACAAGCAAACATGTCATCTATTCCCAAAAAGTAAACTAGTATATCCTTTAAAATTATAAAAACATTCAAATTGTTATTTATATTGTTTAAAAATGAGAGGAATACAATGAATTCAAGTTAGATGCTAAATCATTAATGATTTATCTTTGTCAGAAAAAGTGAATTGTATTACTCCAAAAAAAATTGTTTAGTGGTTTGTATTGGATGTTAGTGTGCCTATAGTGTTCCCAAAATTGCCTGTAATAAATATTAAAAATAGACTATTTCAAAATGTGGGGAAAATGTTTTTGAGAGTATATAACAGTATTTCTTACTCCCTTTTTACTTTCATATTAAAAGATCAATAACAAAGTGTGTACTTTTCTGGTAAAATTAAAACAATTATTGACTGACAATATAGGAAGCTCTTTCTACATGACTGACTTTACTTTTACATACAGAAGATTTATTTTCCATCTGGCTCTTTTCATCATTTCATTTTATTTTTATTTGAATTCTGATTCATAATCTAAGAGCAATGTAATTTCAAATTTTTACTTACATGAACTTGATGCTTTAGATCTTGGTACATTTTAATTTGAGCCTTCCTTATTCTTGGTTTTTGATGTTCTTCGGATTTTGTCCACTTGTTGATGTTTACATTTTTTTAAATTTTTGTAGGTGAACAAATTTAAAGTTATGTTACAAACTGCAAGTAAAGAAAATGGTGTCGAAGACTTCTCTGTGACACATTCTGATTTGGAATATTTAGAAAATGATTACAAGAATGCTCTCACAGCTCTTCAACAAAATCTCCAAGTGAGGAACTAAGTCTGATCATTAATATAAATAATCATATTTTCTTCATTAGTGTAAACGCTAGTAAGTGCCTTTCAAAATGTTTTGCAGAAAGAAGAGGAGCTAGAAACCAAGAAGTTGAGGCGCCTCAGAACCTTTCGGCCGAAATCATTGAACATTCAAAATATACAACGCAAAACAAAAATAGGCAAAACAAAAAGTTTGAAAGTTAAAGGCAAAAAAGAAAATTAAATATACATAATTGTAAATGTTTGTTAAACTATCAGAGTTGTATAATCTATTTATTGAATTACAAATGTAATTGTTTATGTATAAAATAATTGTAATTTTATTTCTCTGTACCTCTCATTCTGTGTGTGTGCGTGCGTGCGTGTGTGTGTGTTTTACGGGGCAGGGGATAATCTTCTAAAGACACTGCGGGGCCCGCAACCCGCAGCGTGTGGGATTCATAGCTAGCCTATGCCTACCCACTAAAACCCCTCCCTTTCCTCCTAATTCCTTCCCGCGGAAACCGCCGTCTGGCATTGCATGCGTCATCGTCATTGCATGCAAACACGTCAGCGAATCCAATCGTTCTTGGCATTCCGGCAACTCGAGCTTCAACACGGCGTCATACATAATGTTCCACAACATCGGAACAAGTCACGAACCCTTGTGGGACACCGCCTGTTACCGTATAATTTTTGTACTCCAGACACAGTTTCATATAGGAGACTCTCTCCTTAAAGTAATCTTTTTACCAAGTTCGAGATGTACTTGGAATCCAAGAGTTTGTAGCGCAGAAAGAATGGAGCTCCACCTTGCAGTGTTAAAGCGTTTTCACGTCTAGGGTCACTATAGCACAATACTTATAGGACCGCCTTTCCATCGTTTGCCTTCAATGGCCTTGCGTGCGATGTCGATGACTCCTTAATAGCATCTACCGTGGATCTCGCTTTTTCTAAAGCGTACTGATTATCAAGCACAAATCCTTGAGGTCCCCCTCTGTTAATTGACTCAATACGATTGCAGATAATCCGCTCAAACACTTTGCCTCTGTGTCCAGACATATTGGCCGATAGGCTGCAGGAATAGTAGTGCCTTAATCGCTCGAAGAAGGACTAGCTGTTGCTGCCTTCCCATCGACGGGGAAATTCCCCTCTCGTAATGCATGCATTATATGCGTGAATGATAGATCGGGCCGAGTCTTAATAGCGGTCTTAATTTGCTACATTTGGACCCCATCTATCCGGGGCTTTGCAATCTTGACTTGCCACGCAAGGGAGGAACGGCGAGAACAACGGTAAGTCTACAACCTTTCCAAGAAAACCGGCAAGTGGGTGGTCGCCTGAACATACCCTTGAGTTTGGCCGTCAGCAGCTATCAGCGGGCGTCCCCAGGGGTCAGCATCCACCTCCACATCCTAGCTCTCTCCAGCAACGCACTTACTAATCTTAATGGCTTTTGTGAAAGCTTTTCTGGCTCCAGATGTTGCTTCTTGAAGAATTCGTAGTTTGGGCGGCTTCCAGTGCGCGCGCTGTGCCACTTCTACGTGTTCGGTGGCATTCCCTTGCGTAGTTTCCGCGATTCGTTCGTCAGTCCACCAGTACACTGGAGGACGGCGTTCTCTCCTTGGACCTTTGGTCATTGACCTCATCAACAAGCGTCAAATACCGACCGGTTCATAACGGTTTTCTACAATATATTCAGAGTCACGGCCAACATATCTTCAGGGTTGCCCTCCATCATGGCAATGAAGGAATCACGATCGAACGTCCTGTGTTCCAAACAGCTTTCTTCTACCCCTTGGTGAGCTCAACATGCACTGCTCTTTCCACTTTTCATACACAATAGCTTGGTGGTCACTATGTGTATAATTGCACTAACCTCCCATGATACAATAGTCTAGCAATGCTTTTACAGACGAAAGTTAGGTCAACGACCGAGCTGCGACATTCATTACAAAGGTCGGACTGGCCCCCGTGTTGCAGAGGCAGACATCCAAACTGTCACAGCTGTCCAGGAGAGCCACCCGCGTCGATTCGTTACTCTGCTGCCCCTCCGGTGGCCCATGCATTGAAGTCCCCAGCAATAATAAGGAGGCCTTCGTTCTCTCGCGTCATCTATTAGCGATCGAGTAATTCCTCGAACTCCTCAGCGATGCACTGGTGCAGCATAGACCACTATAGAAGTATACACCGAACCCTTTGATCCAGGTGAAATCCTCCCTTGGGACTTGCATAACATCCTGGACTGACTATTACCACATATACCATACGCAGCTCGGTGCCATACTCAGCGCTTTTGCTAAGCCATGACCGCAAAGTGGCCGTCTTCTCCGCATTCGGTGACGCAGTGATTTTTGTGCAGTGCCTGCGCTGAACTGTCCAGCAGTGTGAATCGTTTCTCTTCCCCTGCACCGACTCTTTATAGGCTTCTTCTCTGCCAGTTCGTAGATTTTCAGCGGTCTCTCTTTCCTCGACGCGAAGTGTCGTCCACCGCCTACTGTGGTCCCGCAACTCCGCGCGCTGTCCAGTGCCCCACCCACCAATCATTAGGCATTTCGGGCCAATATCAGAAGTCACTGGGTGAAACCTGCGTCTCGCACCTCCACCGT